ATTTATTTATTTATTTATTTATTTATTTATTTATTTATTTATTTATTTATTTATTTATTTAATATGCCGCCCACTCTACCCAGAGGTCACTGTTTTGCACACAAAGAAGGAAAAAATGCAGTTTTTTGTTCCTATATGTGAGAGCAAAACAAATCAGAGCTTACCTCTTTAGCTGTAACATGTACCAATACAGAAGCTTAGTATCAGTTCATTGTTTCAAGCTCATTTCCTTCAGCTATTCTCATTAAATGTTTTTCATTCATTCATTCATATTTTTGTTTGCTTCTTCAACTGCTTAGCTTGGTGACTCCTGAACGCCCAAGGTGAGTATCAATAAAGAAAGAAACTAATCCACCCAATGAAAATATTTGATAGCTATAGGCTAAGAACTGTCAGATCCCAATCCTCCAGGCTGCATAACTGCTGGAATGCGGTACCTCTAGATGAAGGTTCAGAAGCAGTAACATGATCTTGCAGTGATTCGGAAAGCATTGTAAAGGTACAGCATTCCATTGTTCAGAGACCATTAAAAACATCTCTTTACAAATCCTAACTTTGGCACATGATATGAATGGTTTCTTTAGATTTTGGCTGGAGGTGGCCAGGTGTTTTTTTTTCAAAATAGTTATCATTTATAAGGTACCTATCATTTCTAAGTGCTGTAGAAAAAAATCAAAATCAAAACCAGTGCTGCCCTACTCACAGAATATAGCATATAATGACAAAAACAAGACTCATGGCAGAAGAGGGAAAAGTTAAATAAGTCAAAGTGTAGGGACTGAAGTCAACAAGCATGAACAGAGGTGGTTTGGAAGTGCTTCCATGCGAAAATGGAAGAGAAGAGTTGTCAAGTTGAAGTTCATTCAGTGGCGGAGAGCTGCAAGGAAGAAAGGGGCTTCTTAAGGTAGACTAGAAGATCAGTTTCTGAAGAGCAGAAATGGGCAACATGTGGCCAGGAGGGGTGATGCACATCCACAGCTGCTCTTGTTCCTCCCCTTTACAAATACTGCAGAAGGCATTGGTAGCATCACCAGTGCTGCTATGAGCACAAGGGCAAACATTTGGTGCATCAGGAAAAGGCAAAGCAAAGGAAAATAGACCCTCTACCCCACCTTTCCTTGGGACTCTATGGTAGAGAACACTACAAACCTTTCTATATCATTAGATAATTGCTACTAAAGTTTTGCTATGGAGACAGCAGACACAGCAGTCTTGATGACCACCACTGATGCAACTTCTATAGAAATCCAATGTGCTCCCAGACATCAAGAAGTTGTCCTTACCTCTTGTAGAGTGAAAACCCTAAGGAAGAGTATAGAGAGAAAGAAGAGAAGACTTGGGTGGGGGAGAGGAGAGAGGCAACAACATAGATATATTTTAAATTTGGTTCATGTGACCAAAACAGTGAAGCAAACATTTCAAGCTTGCATTTCAGAGCCTGCTTCCCGCACTTGGATTAAGATCCAGTGAGACTGGACACAGTTGGTGTCAGAGCGGAATTTGAAGAACAGGTGTTGAACAGGACATTTCTTCAATAATTAACTGCAAAGTTGGCTCTGCCATCTCTTTGTTCTACAATGGTCCATTTAGATGAGGAGGTGATAATGGGTCAATCTTTGGTAAATCCCACAGAGAAAGCCCCAGGTCCCTTTATGCATGCTCCTTGCTCTTTGCTTACTTAGTGGCCAATTCGAATGCTTCAGGGAACCAGGTTTGACTGAAGGACTACCAATTGTTGACTCTTATATTAGCCCTTCAACGTGTAGGCTTTGGCTTTTTTATGCGGTGCTGTGTATTTGATAACCACCAGTTTTCATGTAGAGGATGTTTGGCTGTCCAGGATTAAACTAGGCATGATGGCATGACAGCCATAATGTGGGCTTGACCTTCAGCCACCATATTGATGGATATTATTGGCAACTTACCTGCTACTTCATCTCCTTTCTCTTACCTTTTCTCTGTACATTTCATGGCTCAAAGCCTTCTGTGGAAACACAGCTGAAACTCTTTTCTATTAGTAATGTTGCTTCTCATTCACCCATCTGAATCACATTTGTGTCCTGTTGACAGTGTTGACTGATTGTGTGGTGCCTGTTTTATGTCTACAGAATGGCACAAGTTGTGCTGCGAGATGCACTAATGTTCCAAAACGGCACGGCAGTCTCAGCCTTTCCTGCCTGCTCTCATTTGGGAACCACACAAATTCCAATAACAAGCCATCACATTTAAATACAGTTTGATTAATAGTTTCCACCAAGTGATACCTTAACATATTCCTCCATAGGCAATGAAACTGACATTATGCAGTCCAGCACAAGTTACACATACACACAATTTTAATTCCCACTCTCCAGGAAGGGTGCTTCAAATGGATTATCCCCTTACTCTTTCATTTGTTTAAAAAATAGATTTTAGAACTCAGGTGGTTTTTTTTTAATGAATTTCCAGAAATCCCTGATGGCAAATGAGAAATGAAACACACCAGTTTGGTGCAGATAATGGAAGGAAACGTAATGAGAAGTAATTGTCATAAAACCAGGAAGAAAACAAAACAAGCGATAAATCTCCCGGGACCTACATGACAAATGCTGTGATCTAGTACGCACTTACCCTAGAAATAAATCAACAGAGCAAAGTAAGATTAATAGTACTGGGGCTGTATGGCTGCCGGTGCTATGCATCCTTGCTTGGAACTAGGGTTGAAAAAGAATCTGTCAATTTCACTTTTGTTGCATTGTTCAGAATCCCGCTGGCTTCCCCATCACATCCTCATTTTGCATCAGATTGGAACACTTTTTTCCCCTTTCTTCTCACACATAAATCCACACACATTTGGTACCTATTTTCCTAAAGTATGCATTTAGCACATTCCCCCTCTTCCAGCTCTGAAGTCCTAAAATGATGGTGATTATAAAACAGAGATGGGCAAGATGCACACCTCTAGATGTTGCTGAACTGCCACAACCATCAGCCTTAGTCAGGACAACCAGTGTTATAGAATTCTGGGGGTTGCAGTCTGGCCACATCTTGTGGGAGAGGTTTGCCCACAAACAGGTACATTCTAGCGGTCCATATTTTCCAATTGAGCATGTGGCAGTATGTGTGCACACATTTCTAAAGCGTGCAATCGGTTTGCTAAAACTCATTGCAGGCTTTAGAAATGTGCCAAATTTCCAAGATAACAAGTGTTTTATCCTATTGTATGGATCAGGAGATGGGATATGGATGCAAATATGAAAATGTGAACCCCACAGATTTATTTTCCATCCTGTTTGGAAGGAAGTCCCACAGGGGATTATTTTTGAATCAGTATGTGTTGGGATAGCCTGTCCAGCAGAGATTTTGCTTGACTGTTTCCAAACACGCACACCATTCTTAAGGGATAAGGCCTTTGGAACTCATACAGACCTTAAGAACTGTTTGTGATAAGGCACAGATGATGGTTCTTCAAAGAGGGAACACCCAGAAGAATCACTAGCCAGGCATGCCCTCCAAATTCATAAGCGTAACTAAAGAAGAGGCCCAAGTGCATCTACAGAGATAACAGAGAATCAAAAGGAACATTTGTATTGCAATAAATCAGAATAAACACGGTTTATTATAAATTATGTATTTATTATTTTATTTATTTAACTTACATGCCATCCACTCTACCCAAAGGTCTCTGGGCGGCTTACAACAATTAAAATACAATAAAAAGATAAAACAATTAAAATACAATTAAAATAGATACTCTAAAAATTGCCATCAGGACCCACAGTTGATATTATTTCATTTAAAAGCCTTCGGGAAGAGGAAGGTTTTGATCTGGCACTGAAATGTCATCAGCATCGGCACCAGATGAATCTCAGTCAGGAGGGGGTTCCATAGTCTGGTGGCAGCTGCCAAAAAGTCCCTTTCTCTACAAACCATCCCTCTTATCTTCTTGAGGCATGGCTCTTTCAAAAGGGTCCCCTGGCTAGATCTTAACTGCTGGGTAGGCTCATATGGAAGGAAGCAGTCCTTCAGGTATTGTAATAATAGCATGCTCTACCTGCACATAGAATGCTAACAATGTAGATATTCACTATTACATCTTGTTACATTCTGTGGGTTTTAGCCCGAAGCCTTTGAGTTCAGGGCTGACCTGAGACATTTTGCTACAGTGGATCCTCAACTTACAGACGGCTCCACTTACAGACTTTTCGAGTTACAGACTTCTCTGGCTGCAAAATTTAGGTTCGACTTGCAGCCGGAGAATTGATCTACAGACCAGAAAAAAATGGAATAAAAATGGCCGGTTATGGATTAATCGGTTTTCAATGCATTGTAGGTCAATGGAGACTCGACCTACAGACTTTTCAACCTGCAGCCACCGTTCCAATACGGATTAATTCTGTAAGTCGAGGGTCCACTGTATCTTAAGGCGAAAGGCTAAAGCAGCACCTCCTCTTCAATGCTCATGCAGAACCTAACTGAACTGGTAAATGAACAGATGAGGTAGACTTAGAATGGAATAAGCCAGAATGAGCACTTTTAATCAACGCCAAAAGTAGCAGGATAGATACACATCAGAACAATCTTTTAGAAATAAAATCCATCACATATTACTCTTTCAATCTTGTTCTTTTAGAAAAACTAGCTGCATTAGTCTGTGCTAGCATATTGGGGGGAAACAAAAGAAAAATTTAAAAAAAGGAAAAGACAAAAACATTGTGGCTCTTTAAAGACAAACTGTTATACAGTGGTGCCTCGCACAACGAGCGCCCCGTAGAGGGATGAATTCGCTCTACGGGGACGTTTTTTCGATTGCTAATGCGATTGCAGAGCGACGGCCCCAATGGGCGAAAATCGCAGAGCGAAGGTTAAGCGAGAAGAGGGCGTGAAAATGGCTGCCGGCCATAGGGAAGCATCGCTGAACGGTGAGTATTCGGACCAATTGGAATGCATTAAACCATGTTTAATGCGTTCCAATGGCTTTTCCTGCCCCGTTCAACAATGCTTTCACACAGCGAGAGTTAATCCGGAACGGATTAACCCCGCTGTGCGAGGCACCACTGTATTTTAATGTGAGCTTTTGTGGGTAAGCCCACAAGTGTCTGAGGAAGGGGACTTGTCCATGAAAGCTTACATTAAAACATATCAGCTGGTCTTCAAAGAGCCACATTGTTTTTGTTGTCTTCATTTTTTATTTTTGACTGATAGACTCTTTCCTTAACACTTCAGTGTCCCCAAACAACCTTGAACAGTACACAATGACCCAGGATGCCAACCTTCAAGTAGAATAAACCAACCAAATCCATGACTTACTAGAGGAGGCTGATGGAGCAAGCCACAAAGCTTCCCCCGGAACTACATTGCAGTGTCCATTCTATGCAGAGAACCCATATGCTCCAAAACAGCCCAAAATGGAAATTTTCAAACAGGGGGACCCAGTGAATTTCTTCCATCCCCTCAGATTTGATGGGACTGATGTCACAAGCCTCAAAATGTCCTTAGGAGTCACATTTTAGGGTCCATTCAAGGCAGAAATCCATATTGGGCAAAAGGGCATGCAATGACAGTTTCTAAGTAGGACAGCGCAACAAAATTTACCCATCTATATTAGGATAGTGAACACTGAAACAACAAGCCTCAAAATATCCCCAGGCCACTAAACATAATATGAATTTTATTTTATTTTATTTTGCCAAGAATGGAGGCTGCTTTCTAGGGTTGTAACCAGTCACGAAATCCAGTGTAGCTCCACTCCACTCTGTCAGATATTTTCAAGCTTCACTTCGGAGACACCCACTCCCTATGTAGCTCTGCCCCTCTCATCATCATGTGCTGCCATCCATCCATCCATCCATCCATCCATCCATCCATCCATCCATCCATCCATCCATCCATCCATCCATCCATCCATCCATCCATCCATCCATTCATTCATTCATTCATTCATTCATTCATTCATTCATTCATTCATTCATTCACTGGATTTCTATCCCACCCATCTAGACCAAAGGTCTACTCTGGGCGGTCATGTCAATTCTGACTTATGGCAACTTTTTCCAGGTAGAGAATACTCAGAAATGGTTTACCATGTCATCCTTCTGGAGGCATTGTGCAGTTTTCCCAAGGCCACTCAGGCTGGCATTACTCACAGGAGACACAGTGGGGAATAGAACTCCCAGCCTATGGATCTGCATCCAGATAACCTAAAACACTGAACTATCCAGCCAGCTTCTGTCCCTTCCCCTCTAAGCTATCATATTCCTCCAGGCTCCAGAACCAAGTCACCAATTTCTGCCCTCGCCATGCTTCCTATGGCTGGGAGCATCTGAACTCACCAGATACTGCAAAAAAAATTCATTTTGTGGACTATAATTCCAAAATCTCTTTGCTAGAATGGCTACTGACTAATGGAATTCTGCAAACAGTTGTGTTTTTTTTTTAAAAAAAAAGAACATTTTTCTCAGCTCCATTTTACCAAGGGTGTTCAGAATATAAACCTAAAGTCTGAAGCACTAATTCAACTGCTTCTCCCACCCCCACCCCAAAAAACCCCTGAAAGATTGCACTATATTGAGATTAAGTCCTTCCTTTAATATTCTGGCATTCAGGGTTTGTTTGTTCTGAGAAATTCAATGACTTTTTCTTGAGTGATCCTAATAGAGAGACACATTGTCATTGCAGACAGACATAATGAATAGAATCGTACACCAATGAATATGGATTGTTGGCTCCTTATGTGTCATTTTATGATATCAGGATAGATAGCAATAATCCTAAATGGCTTTGCATAGATTTATCTGCAATTCAGGTGCTCTGTTTTTTTTTCCTTTTTTTTAAAGATCATAATATTGTAAGCCATAAGCCTCAAATTATTGCTTTATAGTATACCGCCGTTACTCTCATTTCGGGGTAATGGTGGTGATGATGATGAACCGTGTGAAAAGATTTATTTGAAACTTGGCCAACACTTCTCTGGATGAGAAGCACTGTACTTCTTTATACAAAACAGAGCCTTTTCAAAAACACAGGTTTGCCACTGGGGCCAGCATCAGAAATTTAGCGGTCTGAGACAAAACATCCTGGTGGAAATCCTCTTTGCTTAGCATAATTACCATGTCATAGTAAGTCACAACTACAGTAGGATTTATTTGATTCAATGGAACTTATAGGGGAGTTGACTCACCAAATCCCCACTGATCCAGTGGTCTACTCTGGTTGCCACTTACTACACTGAGCAACAGGATTTCATGTAGTATGGCATTCTTCCACCCTCCTTGGTTACCAATATGGCCAAACTTACTTTGAAACTGGTGACGGGACATTTTATGTTTTATTTTATATCTTCTTTGGTAGGGGATTCCAAGGTGGGCTTGAAAAATGTTTTTTTAAAAAAACAGATTAGCTTCAAAAAGTAAGAATGCTAAAAGTGCAATTAAATATATTATCATATATTTAAAAGCACAACAGAAAAGCAAAGAAGTCCAGCATCCCACATTTAAAACCTTTTCTACCGAAGTCAGCCAGCTGTCCAAAACCTGCCTGAATAAAAAGCCCTAGGTCAGCTTTAGATAGAAAAAGGTAAAGGTTCCCCTTGACATTTAGTCCAGTCGTGTCTGGATCTAGGATGCAGTGCTCATCCCCATCTCCAAGCCATAGAGCCAGCATTTGTCCGAAGACAGTTTCCATGATCACATGGCCAGTGTGACTAGACACGGAACGCCGTTACCTTCCCACTGTGGTGGTACCTATTTATCTACTTGCATTTGCATGCTTTTGAACTGCTAGGTTGGCGGGAGCTGGGACAAGCGACGGGAGCTCACTCCGTCACATGGATTCGATCTTACGACTGCTGGTCTTCCGACGTTGCAGCACAGAGGCTTCTGCGGTTTAACCCGCAGCACCACCACATCCCCTAGCTTTAGATAGTAGGCTAATTTATGAGGGGCAGAACTCTATCCTCCAACCGGCTGTGAACAGATGGGGGAGCTTTGCCACCATCTGACATTTACCTTCCAGCTTGACTGCCTAGGTCTACCAAGCAGTAGGACCTGCCCTGGCTGCCAATCCAAACAGCATCCCAAAATCCCTTACCTGTTCTTCTTGCTGCGTAACATATAGTTTGAGATTTTTGTGCTCCAATATCATTGTTCCATACAAATACATACACCCTGACTACACGTTATTGGCTGTCACTGGTCTGCCTTGGCTGCCAATCCGAACAGCAGCCCTAAATCGTTTACCTTTTCTTCTTGCCCCGTAACATATGGTTCAATATTTTTGTGCCCCAATATCACTATGCCATACAGATACCCCCTGACTACACGTTATTGGCTGTCACTGGGGTGGGAAGGAGTAACAAGAAATTGCTAAGCATAATAATGTCAGGGCCCACCAAATAAACTGAACTGCACGTGATGAAGGAGAAACGGGAGGTTGACGCTGAGCTCCCATTTTCGGCAGCATCGCCCTCGCTTCCAACCATGTGCAGTTCCAGCTGATTCTCCCACAGAGTGGGGCATCCAAATGGAGAGACCACAGCTTAACGGAACATGCAGTTGCACTTTTTGAATGCAGAAGGTCTTGATTTCAAGCTTATAAACCATTTCCAGCCTAAGAAGCATCTGCAGTAGGTAACGGGGAAGGCCTCTGAATACCAGTTGCTGTGACTTATGGACCATCTTGTTCTGCTCAAGTCCTGTTTGTGAGCTTTCCATAAGTGCCTAGTTTATTTATTTCATGTTGTTGTTGTCTTAATTTGGATTCTCAGTGTAGTGTAGTGGATAGAGTGATAGACTAGTACTTAGGAGTACTGGGGTTCAAATCTCTGCTCAGCCATGGGGAAGTAGAACTGGTAAAACTACTCCTTAAATATCTCACTTACCTTGGAAGCCTTATTAGGGTTGCTATAAGTCAGTTCTGACTTGAAAGCACAGAACACACAAATATTTTTTATTTATATATCCCAACTTTCCTCCCATCAGCTCAAGTGAGCTTTCATGGCTCTCTCTCACACACACCCCTTTATACTCACAACACCCTTGTGAAGGATGTCAGGCTTAAAGACCATAACTGGCCCAAAGACACCTAGTGATGTTCTGGAGCAAGCAGAAATTTGAACCCAGGCTTCTTAAGTCCTCGCCCTGTACTGCAACTGCAATGTCACACTGATTAGTTACCATGAGAACAGAAGGCTGGGTAGGTAGACCTTTGATGTGATCTTCTTATATTCTGCTGGACAGCCAGAAATTTACCACCAGTCTAGATAAACATTACTAAGCTGCAGGCAGAGATAAAAATACCTGGCACAGAGCAATTTCCTTTCTTCCTCTTGCACTGATTCCACGATGTTCGTAGCGCTTAATGTTAGTTGCATCATTTTATCTCTGAAATCTCTGTCCTGCTTTTCAGGATCAGTAAAATGCAAAAACAAAATGCATTGCAATTTTACTATTAAACTTAGTCCTCGTAATATAGGAAGTATTTCTAAAAGCAGTGAGCTTGAAATGGGCCAAGAACCAGAGCTAAGAAAGAAAAAAGGCCCACTGAAATAAAATAAAACCAAAGTTCATCTAAAAGTTAGCAGCAAAGGAACCAAATGTACTTCTCACTGGAGGTCATTCTACATTCTGGGAGCCACCACGAAGATGGCACCGCTCTTCATTGGGGGACAGGGTAGAAGGTGAGAAGTGTTTCCCTCCAAGTTTATGGAGGGTTAGGTGAGTGGCGCTGTGGGCTAAACCGCAGAAGCCTGTGCTCAGGTTCAGCAGTCGTAGGATCAAATCCATGCAACAGAGTGAGCGCCCATTGCTTTGTCTCAGCTCCTCACCATTTACAGTTCGAAAACATGTAAATGCGAGTAGATAAATAGGTACCACCTCAGTAGGAAGGTAAAATGGCGCTCCCTAGTCACGCTGGCCATGTGACAACGGAAACTGTCTTCAGACAAGCGCTGGCGATACGGCTTGAAAAATGGGATGAGCACCGCCCCCTAGAGTCGGACACGACTAGACTAAAAATGTCAAGGGGAACCTTTACCTTTTAAAATGTTACTTTTAAGGCAAAAACACTTGAAAAGGTTATCTTTTTGGACTACAACTCGCAAAATATCCCCAGCCAGTCATGCTGATTGGCAAATTCTGGGAGCAGTTCTCCAAAATGATAACTTATTGAGACTCAGAAAATCGGCACTTCAAGTTGAGAAAGGAAATAGATCAGTCACTACTGACATGGATAAAGGATCGATGTAGTGTAAAATCGATCTCTTGGTGCTATACTAGAATAACAACTTATGTGATGTCCCAAAAGAGAGGAAACCCTTCTCTTAAGAGGAGGATTTGCAAAAAGCGTGTGACGATGTGTGCATGCATGCGTGTGTATGCAAATTTAGAAATCATAAAACAAAAATAAAATTAGAGACGGTGGAATTCATTTATCAGCTGAACAGGTGATCCTCAGTTTGGCTGGTAAATGAACCCTGCCGAACCACCGAAACGCCAGCTCCTGCCCATCTCTAAATAAAATGCATCTAACTATCTTGCAAAAGTCTTTATCATCAGGTGACCTCTATCTGCTCGGTCCTCTGTCTGAGAGGATATCACTATGTCGCTTCAAAGCCCCTTTTCTCACTTATGGGTTTTAATCTTTAGACAGAAGATGTCTTTAAACAGAATACTGGCTTTTAACAACCCTTTAGACAGAGGACTGGAACATAAGTAGACATGGTCTAGAGGGGCGGGGTAAAAACCTGGCCCTTTAGACAGAGGACTGGAACATAAGGCAAATGAATATCCCACACCAGACATGGACACCCTACACATTCTGGCCCAACTTAGGTTTCCAGTGTTTCTACAATGTCTGGAAACTAAGCCCTTCTCTATGAGTTTCCAGATGCAAGAAGCCCTTGTAAAAACATTTCAACAACAGACCTAGAGTTACGTATTCTGGAATGTCCGTGATTTTTCCCCCCCAATAGCAGGTTTGAACAAATTGTTTAGAAAACGTCGGCTGTGGAAGCGCGTTAAAGCCCTGTTCTCCCACGAAACAGGCCCTGACGGTGGAGCAGCCAATCCTTGTAGAGGGTTTATTGATTAAGTGTGAACTCCACATAAGAATGTATTGTTTTCAACCTCAGAAATATTTACCAAAAAATCAGGGATCATGATCTACTGGATAAAAGAAAAACAGTCACCGCTCTCAAAGCTGGAGAAGACCGAGCCATCCTCCTCGGGCTGACCATGATGGTGTGTTCCATTATGATGTACTTCCTCCTGGGAATCACGCTTCTGAGGTCATACATGCAAAGGTAATTCTCTCTGCTCCTTGTTCCCGTTCTATAATATTGTTCCAAAAAAAACCCCTCAGAAACAAAATGTGAAAACACTGGGTTTGGGGGCTAACACCAGGAAATGTTAGTTCCGCTCAATATTCTGTATGTTCTCAATTTCATTCAGGTTTTGTTCTCTCCATTATGGCATGGAATTGATTTCAGAGGCTTCCTTTCTCAGCATGCCTTTTATTTGCTTAGGAAATAATTCTCCCAATGCTGCATTATTTGGGGATATTTTGATATGTAGGAGAAAAATGGCAACTGCCGCAAAAATTTGCCACCTCAACTAGTGCACCTCTTTCACCACTGATTCTACACAAGCTGCGCATTCAAACAACCCTTTAACTCTACTTCAACAGGAAGTTTAGAACAACTCTGCCTGCTGTGGTCTCTCTCTCTCCCAAACCTGAAACAGTGGGCAGTGACCTCATTCATTTATCTTCTTCTTTCTCTAAATCAGTGGTCCCCAACCTTGGGCCTCCAGATGTTCTTGGACTACAACTCCCAGAAGCCTTCACCACCACCTCTGCTGGCCAGGATTTCTGGGAGTTGAAATCCAAGAACATCTGGAAGCCCAAGGTTGAGGACCACTGCTCTAAATCAGGTATAAAAAGTTTTGGTTTCACTTTCCTCTTTATTGCCATGGCAAGGGTCACAAAAGAAGTTAAACTCTTCATTTCACATTTGTAGCATTCAGCCCTGCCCTTCACCTGTCCGTCACAGCTGGGCAGTGGAACATCAGCCAA